TGTAATAGTACCGAAAGCTTTTGTTTGTGAGAATGAATATATTTAATTAAGGATGAAGTGTTGAATGATTTGGATTGCAAGAAAAATTGCAATATTACATATTCACTTTCATTTCAGTTGAACTATGGCTTGAAAAGAAAATGAAAATAGAAGTGAGTGTGCAAATGATGAACGAGAGAAATTTCAAACTTATGTGTACAGACTTTTCGAAAGATAAACTTGCTGTTGCAGGTTTCATTTATACATTTTATATAATGGTACTTCGAGGGATTCAGATGGGAGTTTGTAGATGATAAGCTGATGGATCACTTCAGATGGCAACCAGATTGCTCATTTTCGACAAAGAAATGGACTGGCACGTTGAACGGAAAAGACATCCAGTATATAAGTGCAAAGTATCAATGTTTGTGTGCAGGTGCATTGGGTTGCCAACAGTGGACAGTTGACAACATTGTGTCCAGATTGTATTAATGCACATGCCTCTCGCCGACGAGTTGATACTTGTCGAGAGTAATAAACTATAAGAGTGATATCTTGTTCTATTGGCAATTAGCAAATGAACTAAAATACATAATCCCAAAGACGTTACATGGTTTTAGGTGTAAAACCCACTTAATACAGTTTTGAAAGGTCCCGCAAGAAAAGAAACGGCCCCAACAATCGATTTCAAATATGAAAACGTGGATAAAAATTGGCAAGCATGGCACGCTTGAATTTTTTTTTTAGTTGAATTGCGACTTTCCTCAAACCAAACGGCGAAGACGGCGTGTAAATTTATTATAACACGTTCAATTTCAATTAAGAAAAGGCAAAGCTGGACAAGGTAAAAAAGAAGTTCGATGCTTTTTGCGAAAAGAACAGACTATATGAGAGGTACAGATTTATGCAGTGTCAACAAAATATAGATCAATTCATGAGCCAATATATAACAGAATTGAATTCACTGGCAGCTTCGTGTGAATATCAAGAGCGACAGACAATATGGTACGTGACAAAATTGTAATGGAAATATCTGTCCAAGGCCTTCGGAAACTGCTGCTTCAAACTCACATTATCGAAAACAAAGGATATTTGCAGAGTTTATGAACAAAGCAAGTGGCAGATGCAAGAAATGGATGAAAAACCTTCGACCTCACTAGATTTTATTGTAACCAGCCGGAATAAACAGATTAGTACTTTTTATAAGAAATGTTCTCAAACTTGTCAAAATGAAATGATGTCTGATAACAATATTACTAGAAAAAAGTGACATAATTGTAATAAAATGCATAAATTTGGTAAATGTCTATGGAGAATTTTGCAATTTGTGTAAAAAAGCAAATCATTTTGAATCTTGTTGCTCACCAAAAATAACAAAAAAGTGAAGCTAATAAAACCTGCGGTAGAGAATGTCATAAATGTAATAAAAGGCGTGAATTTAGTAAATGCCGAGCATATGGTGAATTTTGCAATTTGTGTAGAAAAGCAAATCATTTTAAATCTGCTTGTTCACAAAAAATAACAAAAAATGAAGGTAATAAAAACTGTAGTGAAGAATGTAAACGACATTGAAATTATTGATTCAGATAAATTGAAATGGTTATATTTTTAGGAGTGATTAATTTTTTGGAAAGAAAGTTTTCGACTTTCTACTACATATTAGTGACNAAGAGAAAGAAGATGATTGAAATTATAAATTGTAGTTTTTGTACCCATAATTCCATTTTTTTTTCTTCAAAAAAATAGGCAATTAAAAATGATACTAATGTTTTTGAAAGATTGGCTTGCTTTCCAGGTAAACCATATAGCATTTCTTTGCGTTTTTTTAGCTAGGCGTATTCCTACAGAACTTTTACCGCAGTTTGATAAGTGTCTAAAAAAGTTAGAATATGTAATGTAATGTAATATATATATGTAAACGAACAAACCCTACCGAATGGGTTATTAACATTGTAGCCAACACATTTTGTAACAGAGTGAACAAATCTATATTTGTTTCATCAATTGTTGTTGGCCATATCTTGAAAGCTCCAGTAATTATAAATTCGTGGTAAGTACAGTTAGTATTCCACTTTAATATTTGCTTTACCAATCTTATCTCCTATCCAGAACAAAAACGAATATATCGTCAAGCAAACGATATTCCTTTATTTAGTGTCTGAGAAAATTCACAATTTTTAACCGTTTTTTTATCATTATTTTTCAACAGTTCTGACAGAGCTCAATTATGTTCGTATGAAGGCGAACTGATGGTAGTTGTTTGAAGAAAAAAAGGTTACCTCATTAGCCAACAGGTCTACATTATGAAAAACAGGATTATGATTGAATTCGAAGGTGTGATTATTTGATTAGTTTCCAAATAATTTGTTCGAATAGAATTCGCATAATTTGAAATTTTTATTCAATGAACTATGATACAGTTAATGATGAGAAAAAGTCTTTGAAAAAATACAATTCTCGAATACGATTTCGATCAAAAAAGATACAGGGGTGATCGGAGTTGAAGTGATACATCCTGAATGTTACTTTTTCAAATACATATTTTCATGGAATAGTGTCTTATATATTTTTTGAGCGTGTTGATTTTTCATTCCTAGCAGGCTATGATTTGTTTGAAAATGATGAACTTGTTTCAAGAGCAAGTACATCTCTGGAAACTCTCTGCATGACAAAAAAAGTTTATGGATGCAACTTCAAACGAAAAAGATACAGGGGTGGTCGCAATTGAAGTGAGACACTAATGTCTCAATGTCTCGTTTTACATTTTCAGATAAGGACAGTTTACTGTTTCCTCCAATTTATTTCAACATATTGAGAATGAGTTCACATGTTAGACAGACCTCAAGTCTACCAATCGCATGTTTCCTTAATTATAGCCGAACAAGTGTTCAGGTTATATGAACGGGTCAGTTTTTATTCGGGTTGTTCTTATTGAAAAAAACGGCGAGATGCTGGATTGGAAATTGTTTTAATTTGAGTAAAAAAGTAATTTTATTTTCGAATCATTAAATGAAATTAGATAAATTGGAGGTAGAAATATACCAAGAGTACCATTTTATATTCTAATATTTGCGAATATTTGATAATTTCAAATAGGATTCCAAAAACATGAAATTATCAGAAAATGCGTGTCGTCTGATTCATTTCTTCAAATTGTTAAAACTAAAATTATGTATACTATAATGACTGGTTCATAGACTTAACTTTCACATTTACTTGTCCTTCAATAATAAGGATGGATTTGTACTATTCATACAATATTGGAAAAAAAAGTGGCGCAGGCACTATTAGCAGAATGCTAACATCAACAGTACAAGGTTATGACCACTTTCTCGATGTGCGTATGCGCAATGTGTTACCTAAAATAAATCTTTTCACCTAGAGCCAAAATATTTACAGAACCAACCATCAAGATTTTAAAATATCAATTTTTGAAACGTTTTTCGGAAAATAATTTCAGATTAGATTACATTCATGGAATGAACGTTGAATAACAACATCATGATCAAATGATTATATAAGATTTTGTGTATAGTGGCTATAATCGATTTTATTTGTTAAATTCTCCATTGTGAAGAAAATTACATGAATTTTAATAACCATTCAATCATATTTTAATAGCTGAATCGACATACTAACGATAAAAGCAATCAAATATATTAATTATTTGATAGCTTTTGTCATATTGATAATTATGTAAAAATTTTAACAACGTGTCCCCCGCTCCTCTACAAGACTCAGAGTTAGCGTTTTTTTTTGGTCCCTAGGGAGCTGTCTGACTTGTCAATTTAGTCCAAGTCTTCAGAAAATACTGCAGCCTCTTGGGCTTATTGCGTTTATTCTCCCATCTTCTCATGACACCCATTCCATCAGTCTCGTTCCCTGTACTAGTTTGTAGAGGTTCCGTGTTGGATGTTCGTCATATTCTTCTGGACGTAATTTTGTATGTCCATATATTGCCTGTCTCCTGTGATTAAGTACCTCACATTCGCATAAGATGTTTAGAGTTGTTTCTATCCCTCCGTTGCATAATCTGCAACTGAGGTATCCGTTGTACAGCCCCATTTCATTCAGCTGCCCTCTAAGTGGACAATTACCTGTTAGTAACCTGTAATTATTCTGAGCCGATCCCTACTATATTGAAGTAGTTCTTCGGTTCTTTTCTCGGACGGTTCCCTAATGAAGGTTCTACTGTGTTTGTTGCCAGGTACTTTTGTTCAGTACTCTGTGTGCTTCTTATTGGTCCATGTCCTAATCTGGTTCAGGACCTATATATGAAGTTGATGATCCATGTCTAGCGCATTCATCAGCTTTATCATTACCTGTGATTCCTAAATGCCCTGGCACCCAGTACAAAGTTAATTTGTTCCTGTTAGCAAAATCATTCAGTTCTTCATGGCATTCCCAGACCGGTTTTGATGTCACCTTCGGGTTTGTCGGAGCCCCTAGTGCGCTCTTGCTGTCTGTTGAAATATTGATCCGCTCATTTCTTCGAGGTGTCAATTTAATAAGTCTTGCACACTGCAAGATATCATACACTTCCACCTGAAAGACGGATGTGTATAGTCCTAGCGGATAACTGTAGTTTAAATTTCTATCCGCTCGGTATATTCCAGCTCCCGTTCCATGTTTGATCTTCGATCCATCTGTATACTAGGTATTTTTTCCAAACATGTTTTCGGGATGACTAGTGGTCGTCCACTCTTCACGGCTTATGATTTTGGCCGTGAAGTTTGTGTTAAAGGTGTACTTCTGTGTCATGTGGTCCGTGCACATATTCAATATGTGCTCCTCTACATGCTCTGAAATTTCTGTTCGGTTCGATCTTTTGAAGTTCGGTGAGTTTTCCAGTCTGAATTGACCCTGGCCTCCTCCATCATCACAAAGTGTAAAGGAGGTACATTCAGGAGTGTCTCCAATGCTGCTGTTGGGGTAGTTCTCATTGCTCTCGACATTCACAAACATATAAGTCTTTGCATGTTGCCTAGTTTGTTGATAGCGGTCGCCTGCTTCATCTTCGGCTACCAGACTTTTTTCAGATTATTTATTGAGACCTGAGATTTCTTCGAGAGTATTTTGTAGAGCCTGGCACATGCTTGGGTCTGTTCGACCTCCTCACATTGCCTTCTCCATGTATCTCTCTTGGATTTTCTCAGGACTTTGTTATACTCACTTAGGGACCTTTTGTATTGGTCCCATGAACCTGATTTCCTTGCACATTTGAGGGCTTTTTTAGTTTTTTGTCTCATCCACCAGGGCACATTCCCGTTTAATCTCTGATTTACTATGGAACAATGTTCGTTATACGTAGAGATGATGGCTTCCTGTAATCGATCTGCTGCCAACTCTAGGTCTATGAAATCTCTGATGTCAAAATCCATGCGGTCTAAACAGGTTTCCAGGTCCACCGTGTAGGCTCCCCAGTTTGTTTTCCGGGGATTTTGATATGTTAGGATCGAGATCTGAATCCCTCCGATTTCAAAGTTTATGTGTCGATGATCTGAACAACTTTCCTCATCAGACACATTCCATTTCCAAACATAGTTACTGGCAAATGTAGTTCCTATCGTTACGTCTATCACTTCACTACGTCTCGAATTTACGAAAGTAGGTTTATTGCCTTTGTTTAAAATGTCCAAATTATTTGTCATGATAAACTGTAGTAAGTGCTCGCCTCTTTCGTTGGTATTGGTGCTTCTCCAGGTTAGGTGGTGTGCATTGTAGTCCCTCTGCTTGGCAGGTCCAAACCAACTCTTCCACTTCCCTGGTTGGTGATGGTTCAAGACTGTTGTAAGGGAGGTATGCTGATCCAATGATGATTTTCTCAGGTCCGTCCCCGCCAGCGGTCTTTATTTTGACTGCCTCAACTCTGGAACATAAATTACTCAACAGCAGTATTTTTATTCCTCTACGGATAATTATGCATGTTCTTGGGGTCTGTGAGGTTCTGTTATAAATTAAGTCCCTCTGATGCCCCCCAATCCCATTATTTTTTCCCTGTACACTCAGGGTTCTTGTATGAGAGCAATATCAAATCCCCCCATCTATTTGGTAAGGACTCCCTTACTCTGTTGCAGGTTTGTTTATATTACTCTAAACATTGCTGTTAAGACCCTTCAGGACCTTGAAGGTGACCATGCCCAGCTTATAGTAGGCTTTAAACATGTTCGCCTCCAAGGCCCTGAAGGAACTTTTATTCGTGGAGAAGGCCAGGATTTGTCCTTCCTCTTCTACTTTTCTGCTCAGGAGGATCCAGTTTTCCACTTCCAGGGCAGGATTCTGCTTACTGAGGCCTGTCCTAATTGTAATCTCCTTGTCTTTTTGGCCTGGAATGAAGACTAGGACTTTCGGTCTCTTCGGGAGTTCGTTGGCCTCGACCACGGTAAAGTCCGCCCCCTCCCAAAGATTGCCCAAGTTTTCAACGCTTCCTCTGAGCCATTATTTTGTCTCTTCATTCGCACAGGTTATATAGAACCCCTGCGCCAAATGAGGTCTTTCAAAATTGTAGATTTTCGAAGCTGTCCAATTCGCGGACAAGTCCCTCCTGGATCAGGTCTGATTAACCCTGACTCAAGGTGACCTCAGCGTGTCGCATGTCAGTAACCGCCACCCTCAGGTCCCTAGCGGCCGCACTATAAGTTCCAGTTTTTTCGGAAGCACTGGGTTTTTTCAGCAACTTCTGTGGGGGAGTTTTCACATCCTCTCTAGGTCTCTTTTTGGCCCTTTCCACAGAAGTTACTTGAGTTTTTTCTAGTTTGCTGCGGTCCTTTGTATTACATGGATTTTCAATCCATGTTCTTGAAGCTATTCCCTTCGCTTTCATCAGTTTGCGCCTTTGCGGGACTGGTGTCTCCCGCCGTTTGGGTATGACTTTCCTGGTCAGTTTGCACCTCCAGGATAGTCTTATTTTGCGAGTAGTCGCTCGAAGAGTCCTCCTCTGATGTTTCAATAATGCGTTAGCGTTAGAATAGACATCCTCGATACTGTAACCAACAAAGAAGAATTCAAATATCCGGGAGTGGCCTCAAATGGAAATTTGCCTCCAAAACAGGCGGCTTGCAATTGCTATAAAAATTTATGGATGGTGGATGGTTAAAAAACTAACAAAAACTTCAGGGCCTTTTTTCCAATTTTGAGAATTGGAAACAAACCCTTTTTCAGTTGATCTCACTATTTCTTCTGAAATAATCAAAGCAGTGGCTTTATAAAATCCAAATAGCACCCTATCGCTCTACAGTGGGTTGGCTAATCAAGGCAACATCCCAACTGAATGAAAAAAGCTTGTACTTCTCGAAGAAGATAACTAACTCTCAGACAATCTTTCGTCATATAGATTAATATGCCTACTTGATTCAGGAGGTGAGTTGTTTGAGCTCATACATCTCAATGGAATACACAAAGTAGCAGCTTATAATAGCATGATTCACACATTAGTCAATGTTCCACTTTCCTCAGTAGTATATAAATTAAAGTGTGGAACGTGTCCTAAGGTATATATTGGTTAAACTGGCAGAACATTAAGAATCAAATCCAGGATCATCATATGAGCTATGTAATCTGTTTAACCAGCTGTCGCACCCCTGCGAACGACAACCACCAGAAGTCAAAACTTGTGCGAGCTAAGGGTTAACGAGATCTTACCTTTTACCGTGTGATTCCTAACACGGGTTGGACAATAACAAGTGAAAATCGATCGTTTAGACTAGGGCTTGAACCACCGACCAACACGGCAGACAATTCGAGTGAGTGAACAAAGCACCCACGTCGAACCGCCTGGCTACCGACCGAGCTATGTGAATAAGAAAACAAGTTCAACATATTCAAATCATCTTTTAGAAGAAAATCATATCTTTAACGAAGTGTTCGAAATTTTACACATAAAAAATAAAGGTTTGAAACTGAATCATTTGGAGGAAATGGAAATTAATAAACTTAAAAGTTCAAACATTCCAATGAATGACTAACTGAATTTTAATATATCATCATTACTGAACTTGTTTCTTAGAAAAACGGAGAAACAATTATTAATGATGTAGAAGTGAGGTAATATACTTCAGGTGATCATAATTGACGAGGTACCTCAAGTAGAGATTTAGGTAATTTGTTGGAGGTAGTTTCATCTATGGTTACCTGTAGTATATGAATATTAGTGTGAGAAGTAACTTGAAGTATTCAAATACTGTTGATGAAGCTACTGTGTTAGCAAAACATGTCGTAATATATTTTTCAAATAAAGTTTGTGAAGATCAAATCGTGAGTTGAAGTTTATGAAATAACGATTCATTATTATTATTTTCACCGTAGTGTGCGCTGGTTAGGCCCTATTCTCCGAAGCCCCGGTACATTCGGAAGGGCGCGCCAGCATTATCAAGCAACGAACACTCCCCACACCGTGGGGTAAGTGATCATTGGGTCCGATAATCATGTGCCCTGAGCAAGCGTAGTGAGCTAAGAATGACAGCCTTCTGCATCTGTGCGGCTGAGATTTCTGCCCTAGTGCGGCAAGCCGGTATGATTTTAAGATTCGAGAGAAGAGAGGGCATCATTCCACCAAGGACTCCAATAATCAGAACAACCATCTTGACAGAGTGATCTGGATAGAGTCTGCGGAGTTCGAAAAGAAAATCTCGATATTTTATCCGTTTTTCTTCGTCTTTTCTGACGATATTTGTCTCGCCAGGAGCTGAAAACTCCACGACAAGTATCGTTTTGCTCTGGTGGTCGAGATGGACTACATCAGGCTTATTAGCTTTTATGAGCCTGAGGGTGGGGAACGAATAGTTCCAATAAATTCGGCACTTCTCGTTCCCCACAACGGATTCAATATCCCCCGGAACGTAGGGCAACACCGGTGTCTCATAAATACCGTAAGAGTGCCGGTATTATTATTATTATTATTGAATCATAAGTATGCCATTATCACATATTATAAACAAATTATTGAAAGCAGAAATATACCCCTTAATAATAAAAACATCAAGCAGCATACCATTTTACAAAAATAAAGGGCGCAGAAAGGATATCACAAGATATCACAAATTCACAGACCCAATTCGCGAAAATCTTCGATCCTTCATTCAATATTCAGCTGAATGCATGTTTAGAGAATCGAAATATCATATTGAGTCATCAAAGAAATAAGAAATCTACAAGCACAGCAATTGCAGGCTTGTGTACGAATAATAATGTTTCATTTAATGTGAAAGAACTTCTGATAACTCTATACTTTGAACTCGATAGGGCATTTGAAAAAATTGATCTTATTCACCTAATAAATTGTAACTGCATTAGAGTAAGAGGTTTCAAACAATTGGATTCATTCATACTTGAAAGATAGGAAAAATGATTCAAATCAGGTCTCAACTTAAAACAATCAGTATCGATGTACCACAAGGTTCAGTTTTATTTATTATATTCATGGATGACACGGCATACTCCAGTCCTAATGGTATAGGAATAATTTTTCATAGTGGTGATACAAATATACCTACTAGTCTCAGAAATAAACATACAGAATGTAGCAGGGAGGGCAAATATCACCGCAAAAGAATTTTATAAATGGTGTCTTCATAATGGACTATTGATTAACGTATCTAAATCTGTTTTATGACATTTCCAACGTCAAATATGAACAATGATGTCAGTTACTTTATAAAAATTAACAACAATTTCTATGGAGCAAAATAAAATGATATGGGATTAACACATCGATGTTCTTGCGCGAAAACTAAGCACCGTGTGCTTCCTGATTGGACACCTAGAAGAACAGTATCTTTGGAAGTATTGAAATTGATATGGACTTGTCCAGTCCTCATTATCATATGGCCTGATGTTTTGAGGAAATTCGGCTCATATCTATAAAATATTCGTTATGCAAAAGAAAATTTTATTAGATTTATAGTGGGAGCTCATCGAAGGACTTTCATTTCAAATTTTCGACTGTAATCTCGAGTTCAAATTCGAAATTTTGATATGGATGGATTTTGAGTTAAAGTCTTAATTTCGAGATTAAAGTTTTTCTATATGAAGAAAGATCGAATGAAAAAGTGTAAGCCCTAATTCTTCATGTGTTTCTTCCATGAATACAAAAAACAAATCTGATGTCCTATTCATGGACAATTTATGGAATCGAAAGAATGACAAAAAGTTGAAGTCGATTGTTTGGAACGAATAAAATGATGATCCATTAGTATTTACATTGTTCAAGTAAATCAAAACCACTCATATGAAATTAACTATTTAAAATGGAACCATAATCTCAGGTATAATTTATTGAACTTCAGAAAAATGATTTAATCTATTTTAAACTTCCCACATTATGTAAGATCGTTTACAGAATGAATAATTCATTGCATAGCAGCCAGTCGTCATTTAAATCCGTAAGCTCCGCCTCAAATTGGTTAATGATTTCATATGATTACATTGTTTGAATAGAGCTGTTTTCCTTAATTTGGATAAACGCTGGCAACTAATTAAAATTGAATAAAACCAGAATGAAATTCCCACAGGGTGAAATATATTACCTAAAAATGGTAATGCAGGGAACCGAGTAGTTATTAAAAAGGATAATGATATAAAAACGATATCTAGAAACTTCCTCTCAGATACTACAGTTTTAATACAGAGTTTAGATTTAAATTTACATACATTG